TGAGCTGAGGTAGAGCTAGCTAACCAGGGGTGTTGAATTTCTTGTTGCTCTCTTTTTTCAAATGTAGAATATGTGTTGCAAGAATAGATACACATACCTTAGTTCAAACTTCCCCTTTCTTTTTCTTTGTCCCACTTGAATTATAACAGTAATCATGCCTTTTCCCTGAGCTTGGCTATCCTTGGGTCTAATTCCCTCTGCATAACTTAAGAGTTAGATTATTTCAATATGCTTTAAGCTGTGCTGTGGGGAAAGTGTTATCTGGTGACTGGCTCACAGTACTACAGGATTGCTATTTGTCAGGAAAAAGTAAAGTTTATTATCTTTATTCATTTTATATGCTGTTCTTTGTTCTTTTAATGTCATTCCAGTTCAACTTCAGTTTCTACTGCTTGTATAATAAAATTGACCTTGATTCTGCAGCTCTGAATCTCAGAAATGCAGAGTGACACATTCCAATGTACATCGTGTACTTCACCTGCTTAAATGTTCAAAGATATTTCATTCCTATGGAGTGAACCTTAGCATGGTCTAGTTTAAGTGCTTTTATTTCATTTTATCTTCTGCTTTAATGTGTTTATTATGTCCCAACTTAATAGCTCTGCTCAGTGCCCAGCAATGCTGTAACAGATAGGCACCAAAGAAATAGAATTTACCGTGATAGTGTTGAGTTCAATTTCTGGGAAATGTTCAAGATGGCCGTCAAGGTACGGCTGTCAACATAGTCAACACTGATAAAAATTTTGATTTCTTGTAGCACTACTATCTTTGAGCATTGCATGTTGTGCACAGCATGTATTTTAGCAATGCGCCAAAGTCAAAGTAGTAATAATAAGAAGAATGTCAGCTTAGAATTTAAATGTGGTGAAAGCTCTTTCCTTTACTGGCAATAATAAAAGCAGAAAGCAAGAAACTCTTTTTAATTTAATGAGACAAAGGTAAATCAAAGCTACTGATTCCTTCCCTGTTTTCTTCAAGTGACCATAGCTGTCCCTTTAACTAGATGGCTGAATTGAGAGCAGTGTCCTGCTTACAGCAGGATGGGACCAACAGGTGACCTCTTCCAGCCAGTAACTTTGCTTCTATCCCAGCAAAGGCTTGCTTTCATCTGCAGAGCTCCCTGTAACTCACCCACATGCAAATGCTTCTGACCTTAATTAAAGCAGTTCACCTCCCTCTGCCTGAAGGGATGGTTTCCTCATAAGGCAGTTGTGTTTAATTAGCATTTGCATAGCATTCTGCTGGTTGCTCTCTGGGAGTGTTGTTCGGTAGGAGCGTGGGATTGCTGAAGCCTGACTGGCAAGCTTTGCACCCTCCTAATTGACACAGAAGCCAAGGAGAAGTTACACAAGGAAAGAACAGAGAATAGTTAATGATGGATCATTAGCAACTAGCTCCTTTGAATGAATGTAGATAACTTTATAACTCTATCAAAGTGAAAAGTAGGTGATGAATGATGCGTCAAACAATGAAAGCTCAAAAAAGACACTGTTTTTTATAATTGCTGTGCAGTTTTCTAGCGTGTTCTACTTTGTTAGACTAATTTCTTTGGGAAGTGTGAAGCATTTTATGCCTCTTGTACACTTAATATCAATTTTGTTTTCCTCTCATTAGAAGTTTATTTACTGTCTTCTGCTATCACTGCAAAAACTCCTGGGATTTAAGACAGGAAATTTTTACACTAGCAAAAATTTGCACAATCAAGTGGAAACCATGTACAAATACTGATAAGTTCCTGTGGGAGTCTGATGATTTCTTTGTATAAAGAAGCGTATATTCTCAGCTACACATGCCAGAAATAAGATTATTTCTAATTTGTTTTTAGTTTTTATAGGAATTGCCTAATAGTATTGCCTATTGCCTAGGTATTGATCTCTCACATGGGATTTCCTCTGAAAATTGAATTATGTTCAAACTGAGTTGAATTAGGGAGATAAGTTAATAGAAAAATTACCCCCGATTTAGCTCTCACAAATGTTAGTGTGTGAAAGAAAGGTAGAGAGATCAAGAAGTCTCAAGGACTGGCCGTAGATTCTGCTATAACAACATAATAATTCCTAAAAGCTTGATTGATAGGAAATCTGTAAACTCCTTATGAGACCTCTTTCAGCATTTCACTGTCCTTCCCATGACTAAAGTTTATTTTCTAGTACCTAACTTTGCTCTTACTTTTGCAGTTTAAGTCAGTTAATTTCTCTTTCATCATGAATATGAGGAAGGGTTTACATTCATGTTGCAGAAGGGTCACAGAATTTTTGAAGGCAGTTCAGAAGACAATATTTTTTACTGGCCTTTGCTTTGTTTAGTCATTCATGCCTTTGCTGATCATTGTAGTTGCTGTTCTGCAAGAAACTCTTGGGGTTCATGGCTATGCAGTGGAGGGCCCCCACTAGTCACCATTCCAGCTGTGACCTGCCATCCCTAACTAGAGCAAAAGGATTATTTCACGTGTCTTGCAGGCTTCTCTCTTTTTCGTACATCCCCACATGATGCTATAACCTTTTTCGCAACAAAATGATGTTGACTCATATTCACTTTGTGATCTAGAGTGACCCCTAGCTTTTTCTACCTTGCTGATTGTCCCCTGCCCTGTATTTATGTAATTAGATGTACCTCCTTCCCCTCCTGTTTTATCAGACCATTTCTCTGGTGTAGCCTGGTCATTGTGAAAGCTATTTCCCAATCAGTTTTAACTTGAACTCCTCTGAAACCTGAGCCGGTACAATGTGAATTCCATCAACTGACCCACTAAAAAATACTGATCGGTGCTTCATTCTCAATGGATTCCTGTGGAGCTCACTTGAAGCATTCTCCTGTTTTAGAGGGCTCCCAGTAGCTGTTCTCTGAACATGATTTCCCACTCAGAATTGTACCTGGCTTTGGATTTACCTAGACCATGTTTCTTTAGTGAATTTAGAATGTGCATCTTCTTGTCTGCAATTACTGAAAAGGGAACCTAAGCAACTAAAAATCTCTAGATTATCAGCATGTGAAATTAGGTGGGATGTATCTCACCCTCAGTGTTTCTTCTGGCAGACATAGAAGAGGATCAGCTTGAAAAAATGTTTTCCTAAATATCCCTTCTCACACCATTCTCACTTTGAAACGAATACCTGTGAATATTTTGTTAAACATTTGATTACAAGTGATCTGCTTAGGGAAGGCTGTTGCAAAAACAGCATAATTTGGCACGCCATGTGACCTTATTCAGCAGTTCTGCTCAAATAAACAGTAGCTCAAGTAGTCAACTTCCTTACTCATCCTCTTACAGGATGACTTCTTGTGGTTTGTTTCCCTTGCAAGCTGATGTCCTGTTATTCCTTCAGAACTAAGCCAAACTGTTCTGTCTATATATTTTACTGCATTTCCAAGTAAAGCGGTAGTGATATCAGGGAAGGTGTAACTACATGTGGCTTTTTCTGTAAAATCCTTATGAGGGTACAATAAAGGCTGTAAGTATGAATAGAGGAATTTTTCTGGCTGTTGTCAAAAGCATCAAAAGTTGTTGAATTATTTATTAAAGAAAAAGTTTTTACTGACAATTCTGGAGACTTTTATCCTCTGTTTCTCTATAAAACAGTCTTTTAGATCTCAGAGTAAATGTGTGACCTCTTCCTTCTTCTGAGACTGACAGTAATAATATAACTACTTGTCTGCAAAGAACTGTATTGAAATCCTTCTTCAATTCACTGCAGAGGATTGCTAAAAACTAAGATCAGAATACCTGAAGGAGACACAAAATTTTTTTGCATCATTGCCAGCTTCCCTAAGAGGTTTCCACCTTTGAAGTTATTCTTGCCCAAAGTAAAGAAACCATTGTTAAGTTTCATATGCTATGTTCAGTTTCATGCTGCTGCCATGTTTGCTTTTTCTTGAAAATATAAAACAAGGTGAGGAATACTGTTTCTGAGCGTGGTGCCAGTCCTTCATCACTGCAGGGTAATGATGAATGCTGCAGAGGTGCTTGAATTGTCTCTTGCTGGAGATGGTGCTGCACATGTGCTACTGGAAAACCAGTAACAGTGCCTTTAGATGACTTTTTCTTGGATTCTAATATTTGTCCTGCCTCCTGTTGTGAACAGTGTGAGGATTTCTGGAGCACATCCCACTGTGTGGATTTAGCAATGTCTGTGTTGTTAGGCTAGCAGAATGGTAGACCTGGGATGTAATATTAGTCTGAGAACACCTGAAACACATACTGCTGGAAAAACTTTAACATTGGACAAATATTCAGCAAATCTGGCTTATTGCTGCATTATTGTTGACAGGAATTTGTTTAGTCTTTAATTCCAGAATATAACTTTTCTGTGGTAAATAAGCACTGTCTTGTGGTTTAACCCAGCAGGTGGCTAAGCATCACATTCATTTACTAGGAACCTCCTGCCCAGTGGAATGGGGGAGAGAATCAGGAAGAAAAGAAAAAAAAAAGTAGAACTTGTGGGTTGAGATAAAACTATTTACTGTGATAGATAAAAGGAAAAGGATAAAGTTCTGACTATATATGTATGTATAGGAATGTACATAACAACTGATGCACAAGCAAGTGCTCACCTCCCCCTCACCAATGCCCAGTTAGACCCCAAGCAATGCAAGAGCCAGATGAACTCCCACACCCTTCAAAACTTCTTCCACACAATGGCATATGGTATAGAATATCCTTTCGGCCAGTTTATGTCAGCTGTCCTGATTCTATTCGCTCTCAGCTCCTTGGCCCCTTTGCTGAGAATGGCCTTGGCTCTGTACAGAACTGCTTAGCAGCAACTATAAACATCGGTGTGTTGCCAACATTACTTTTCTCTTAGAACCAAAAACACAGCATCGTACCACACACTCTGAAGAAAAATCCACCCCAGCTGAAACTAATACACACTGTGTTAAGACTGCTTTGAAAATTATTTTTCTTTAAACTAACGTAAACACTTCAATATTAATACGGGCAGTAAATGTTGAAAATAATTTCTTTCCTATCTGTTTGTTTGTTGCTGTTGTTTTTTTAACAGGGCAAGCTGTAAGATATAGTGAATTTGTTGTGTCACATCCCAAACCATCTCCACTTCTTGGACAGCATACAGTGGAGATACTGAAGGGCATGCTTAGGTATGAAGATGATGCCATAGAAGAACTGCTCCGCGCTGGTGTTGTGGCTCAGCATGAGGTCAGATAAGGAACATTAGCTACATTCCTTCACACTGAGCTCACATAGCTTTGTCCTCTCTTTGCTCCCTTCAGCTCCCCTAATGGGACTCAAAGAAAAGACATAATTTAATTCTTAATTTACTTCCATGTGTGTTTGTGTGATTTTAACACTGATGTATCAAATAAACAATTTCATACTGTCCAAGTGAAAGGTTTTTTTGGGGGAAGGAGGGTTAAATATAATTATATGGCCCTATGTGGCTACTCATTTTCTGTATATCATATGGGAAATGGAGTTCTTATCGTAATTACAGTAATTGCCTAAGTGTTTGTCCCCAGAAAGATATTATGTTAGTGAGAAGAAGCAGAAATGTAGTAATTCTTGTATTAGACTCTCCCTTTGCAGAAAGCTGGCTTGCACAGTTACTTCAGTGGAAAATCAGCCATGTACAAACTACTGGTTGATCTAATTGATTCTGAACAGAATCGTCAGTCGTGAACTTTCCGTCTCCATTGTAAAGCACAGGTAAAGTGACCACTGAAAAAGTCTTCTGTTACCTGCTAATACCAATTACTGGTACGTCTTCATATTACATTGCACGATCATGACAAACTCAACATGTTAACAGAAAAAAGCTGGAACTGATCCAGTTCTTCAGTTATGAAATGAACTTCTTCTAAGAGTGATTGAGAGATAAACAATGATTGAATTCTCTTTTGTAATTTTATTCAAGAGGGCCCTGAGTGCTCTTTAATTAATTGATCCACACAAAATTGCACGCCAAATGTCATATGCCAGAACTTGCCCAAGTTTTTAGTCTGGTTCTGTGAGTAGGTACTGATATTTATCGCTTACACTAGATGCCATCCAAAATGCCTTTCGCTGTGAATAAAACATAGCTTAAATACAAATACCTGCAAAACTTCTGTCTTAGTCCCACCCATGTGATTATAAGATGTCAGAGTAGACTAACCTTCATGAGAGTTAGTAATACCATAACCTGTAGTAGGGCTGTTCTTTGGGGTAAGGCACCTTGTATTGTGAGAAGGTGAAAAAATTTGATCCACTACAAATATTAAGGAAAAAATTAGAGAAGACCCATTTCTTCTATGCAAACCTGTACAGAAGAAACCTATAATTTGGCTGTATTTCACTCACAGAAGAAACGCCATGCTCCTCTATCCCAGCATACAGTTTACAGCTTATGCAGACTGTCTATGGGCAGGCCTGACTTTTGTAGCATGCATCCTGGGAATGAGACAAAGCCTTTCTGCTCCTAGAACTAAATAAAACTAACTCGAATTGACACTTAACAAATAATGTCTGTATTTCTCCCTAAGTATCAGAAACAATCCTGGCATTATAAGTAGCTTTTCACTTTGTTTCCACTCTAACAAACAACATCCTCTGCATTGTATCTGAACTTCAGGCTCTGTATTACCTTCTAGAGGAAAAAAAGAGGTCATTACGTAATCAATTTGGAAGTGGAACCCTACTGTGGTGGCTCATTTTTGAAGCCCAGTGTGTTTTGGTTCATTTGTTTGTTTGTTTGCTCTTTGTTTTTGTGTTCTTTTTTTTTCTTCAGATCTTTTTTTTTTTTTTTTTTTGCATTTCTGGCAGCAAACTCCATACTCTATCCATGTGCTAAAGACATCATGAGATTCTGGAAGAGGGACTTCTTAAATAAATAGAGAAATAAGTCTGAATTGAGAATAGGGAGATGATAGGCGAAGAATTGAAACTGGATTGGAAGAGGTTTTGATATAGTCTGTCTTCCTTTTTATCTAAGGGGAACATCCCCTATTTTAATGAGAAAAGCAGAATTTTGAATTCAGCAACACATAAAACGGGTAATTGAATTTTGTTTACTAATGCAAACTATTCAACACTATCGGAAAGCATTTACAAAGAAATTTCACAGTTCTATTTTTTGAAGGCCCTCTTCTTCCCATTTCTAAGAACTGCATACATAAGATACAGTAAAATATTGGATAGTTTTGTTAAAGGTTTTTTTTTTTTTTTTAAATTATTTTTCTTCCTGTGGTTTTCCAAGCAATGGAAATAGCTAATCACCACATCCTTACCTACAATAAATAGGCAGAGCTTCTTTGATTTTAATGCAGCAAGCTTGTTTAAGTCAGCAGAATATCTGGCTGTTAGCTCTGTAAAATATTTCTTGCAGAGTTCACACTCAAGCAGTGTTTCCCTTTCTTCTTTTCTTAGCATTTTCCTCTCTGGTATGTTGACAGTCAAATGCCTAGGGAGATAATCAGAGACATTATGTTGTCTCACCTCCAGCACTCACTGCAGTGGGAGCAATCCAGATATAATTTTGCTTTCTCAGTGTTTGATTAAGTCATACTCTCGAACACAGACTGTTGCTAACTCTTCTTCTAGTTGGAAGATGGTTTGTGTCTGGAAGCCTAAGAAGTCCTGTGAGCTTCCAAGATCTGATCATGAAATTTTGCCCTTTCACAAGGTCTGGCCCTTTGATTTTTTGTAATTTTATGGACTTCTAAAAGTCCATAATAGCCAACCTAGTATAGTGCCATTTTCCTTTAAAAATGAGTAAATAAATGCAGTAAAAGAATTTTTTAAAGTTACTGCTCTTTTCAAAGTAATATTCAGGTATATGTGGCTTTGGAGCTCAATTGCCAGATACATTTTGACAATCTTTCATTCCAAAATGGCTTTCTCTTGTCATGCAAAGCTGGAAATCAATCATCACATGGGATTCTGAACCTCATAAGCTGAGATCCCTCCAATTTCAGAGAATGGATGTAGCTCTCTCAGGCAATGATTTTTATTTTTCTCTGCTTAAATGGGAAAGAAATCTGCTGCTGCTGTCATGGTGTGAGTGTGAATGGGTTGGCTTTATTGACTTGATTGAGACATCACTGTATTAAAAAAAAAAACAACAAGAGAGAGAGAAGACGCACCTATTGCATGTGTTGACTGGTTCAAATCCAAACCCACATGTAACTATCTGCCAGCATGCTGTAACTGCTATTTGAAAGGGACAACTTCATTTTGATCAGTTCTGACTCTTTGGTCCACAACCCCTTTGACTCCTTTCTCTGCATTGAGGAGCCCCATTGTCCTTCTATTGTCTTTACTTGAATATAGAAAATGTGTCCTCAGCCTCCCTCATATCATCTTCCTTTTTTTTCTCCATGAAAACTCGTAAGGCTCTTCATCAAGTATAAATCACCCATAAAACAGCAAAAACGGTGGAGTCAGGCTGGCTTTGCAAAATCTGAGGATCAAGCTCCAGTATATTACGGTTCACCAAAAGTTATTTCAATTGAACAACGCGCAAATGGACAGTGATGGATTTTTCCTGCTCCTATACAGTTGTTATTCATGGTGTCTCTCCCCCACCATCTTCCCATACACCTGGTTACCTCCTGCATGGTTGTCTGAGTGCGTGCAAAGTCCCTGCATTGACTGCCTTCAAAGAATGCTTTAGAGTTGACATCCAAAAGTATTTTTTGTAACAGCTCTCCCACCAGTATACAAAGGCCTGTGTATCCATGTTCATGTGAAAACTGCTCTTAAGCATCACTTAATTTTGCAGGAAGGCAAATGCTCATTTTCTTCTCGAGTTTATAAAAATGAACAGAAAAAGAAGTTATTTTGTTATTTTCTTTTTCCTTTATATATATATACAAACAAGCAGAGAAAGGAAAAATATCCCCATTTGTGACTTAAATACAAAATATAAAGGTCCTTTTGTTTTAAGCTCGTTGAAATAGTCTCTCTGGATGATTGTTGATATTAATCACTGTTTTGGCCTTACTTTTTAAAAGATTAAAGCTCAGCCTGAAGACGTCTATCAGCGGTGTTCTAAGGCTAAATTAGCAGTTATAATAGTTGTATAGCAAGCATACTGAGCAACTGGAGAGGACATTTTCATTAAATCGACATACAGCTTTGCCACTCACAGAGCACTGTAATGCCTCAGCGTGGTGAACCAGGAGGTAACAAGCAGTTAGGCATCTCTATGACTAAAATGGTTGTGATTTCTTTTAATATCTACATGACAAGACATAGTTAATCCTTTGACCTTCATAACGTTATAGCAGTGTATTAAAAGGTATTTATTTACCCAGAATGTATTAAAAGCTATTTAATTGTGAAAAGATAGAGGAAAGGTAGAGTACTTTCAGAGTTCAGGAATGCTGGCACAGCTGCTCACATTTCATGTCAATGACATTAAGCAGTGCCAGATACAGTACTTTTCTTAACTGCTTGTACATTGGATTTAATGTGCCCTGGTGAAATACTAAACGCTATTAGCTGACCAAAAAAAAAATCCACCTCAGAGAAGTTCCTGCAGGATCAAGTAACCTCCTACACAGAGGGCTGCATGATACTGTTCAATGTGACAAAAATACACTGATAAACAGTGATAAAGTCACCTTTTTCAAGTTGACAGCCACTCAATTCAATTACCGTATGTTTCTGTTGTGACTGGAATTTGGATCAGATGTGTGAGAAAAATGCCTGGAATCACATATGCCAAGGACCCATGAAACTTCTGCAACAACATTTTTGGCACAGGCTGTGTCAAGCATTGAAGGAGGGCTAAGCAAGAGCTGAGATGGAGACAAGTTGCTAATTTCTGTTGGTTTTTTTTTTCTGTTCTCCAGTGCTACAGATATAACCAGTTAGTCTTTAACTAATAAGAAATCCATAAAAATCATAGTGTAAACGGTGTAATTCTTTACAAGGCCCCCATATTGGTCTAATTTAGCAAGCAGTGTCACACTCCTTACTTGAAAATATTCAGAAAAACAGACCGAGGAGGAGTCCACACCACTTAAACTGCTTCTGTCTTTCAGCTATTTCACAATTCATCTGTGCAATTATTACTTCAGACTGTCCAAAGAACCTTTAAAATATGGGAAGAAATTTGAAGATGTGTAACCTGGTAAAGGATTGCATACGTAGCTCTCATCTCTTGTGGATCCATTGGAAGCTAAGCTTCCACACTAAAAAGTAACGTATAAAAATGCAGGGTGATGTATATACATTTTCCACTGAGTGTCTTCTTATGGAGCACTGAGCTTCTGACTAAATTAAATGTAATGTGAGAAAAGTGACAGTTGTCTGATTTTTTTTTCATCTTTTCATCAAAACGCTCTATCTCCCAAAGTCTAGAGTAAAGGTTTTTAGGTGAAAGACAGAAATACTCATTC